TAATCTGGATGCATCGCTATGTTCACAGCCTAAGATACTCACTGTTGACATATAAAACCTCATTTCTAATAAAAAACAAATGCCATCCTAGGTCAGTTTAGTGATGTACATACATGTGAATAATTACAGTGTAACTGGGGAATAGTGCATAGACTAACTGGCTATATGTTGCAAAACATTAGAATTACGCCTTGTGTCTGACTCTGATCACATCTGTCCTTTAGTCCCGATCCGAATGCCCTGGAGGGAGTCATCATTGATAGAAGTCCCAGTGACAGGTGAGTTATAAGAGATGTACACATGGTCAGGTGCAGTGATTCGCACCTGTAATCTCAGCACTTTGGGAGGCCGGGGCAGGCAGATCCCCTGAGGTTAGGTGTTCGAGACCAGGCTGGCAAACGTGGTGAAACCCCGTCTCTACTAAAAGTATATCAACTAGCCAGGTTCTGTGGCAGGTGCCTCTAATCCCAGCTGCTCGGGAGGCTAAGGCAAGAGAATCGCTTGAACTGGGGGAGGTAGAGGTTGCAGTGAGCCGAGACCATGCCACTGCATTCCAGCCTGGGCAGCATGAGCGAAACTTGGTCACAATAAATAAATAAACAAACAAATAAATAAATAAATAAGATGTGTACACACACACACACACACACACACAGTGACAGAGATGGAGACTGAGATTAGTGAGATTCCCTCTCAGAGGTGTTCAGGATAACACAGAGTGTCTCTGAAACAGTTTCTTTATCATCTCACTATATCATGTTTAGATAACTTCCACGTTTTTACAGTTGTTTAGAAAAAAAGAAACAGACTATAGAGAGAGGCTTCTGTCTGTTACTATCTTTTCACCATTTGTTAGTAGCAGTGAAATGCCTTGGACACTCTGATTTTCTGTGTGTGAGACATAGCAGAGTGGGCCGAGGGAAGAGAGAATCCTGTTTGGAGCGAGGAGGAGGTAGGAGTGCACGGGGAACGGTGAAGCCCTCAGCGGGAAGTAACAGAGCTAAGAGCCTTGGAGGTGTTCTCCACCCTCCAGAACTCTGCCACCACGGAGGCTGGAGCTCCAAACCTCAAATCACTGTCCCACTGGATTGTGCTTCTGTGTCAGACCTGTAGTTACTTGACTCTTTTTGTGGGGCTGGGGACCCACCCATTCTGGCTGAAAGTAAGGAGGTGATGGAGGGCCTTTGAAACAGGACGTTCAATGAAATAAGAGGACTGACAACCTCCACCCAAAAGTTTAGTTTGAAATAACTGCCAAACAAAGGCTCTCACGCATTGGGACTGAGGTCATAAGAAAGAGGTTTATTTAAATCTGGAAGCATTACTATTTTCCCCAACCTAAGATGTTGGTTGCCATCATATAAATCCTCCTTTCTAATAAAAAAATGACATTTCAGAACCAAATAGTCCTATAAACATGAATAGTAAGAACTTAACTGGTTTATGTGCAGCGTAATTAAAGCGAGTTTTTCCGGAAAAGTGAATTTGGAATTGTATCTCCTGTCAGACTGTGCTCTTTTATCATCCTCTAGTGCACCCACTAATGAATTATCAGGCACGAACCTGGAGGCACGTATCAATGAAAGGTGAGTTATGCACACGTGTGTCTTTATGTATCTAATTATAACTGAGCATAGAAGTATTCACACACACACACACAGGCACATAAACAAATATATCCATCCATCCATCCATGCGTCCATCCATACACACTTCTCTCAACACACATCCACTAACAACCCATGCACAGAATGGAAACATACAAGGAGACAGACGGATGGACACTTGTGGAGTTTATTCTGAGAAGGCTGCATGGCCACAGAGAGTGGTTTTTCACAGGGTTTCGAATTCTTCTCGTCATAGCCTTTGTAGGTAACATTGCATCCTTTTCTAATGGAGTCATATAGAAAGGAGCAGGTCACAGGAGAGCTGCTGCTTCCTGTTAGTGTATTTGTCACCCTTAGTTCCTAGTAAGCAGCTTCTAAAAGGACTCAGATTTCCTGAGTTTGAGAGCCTGTGAGATTGACAGAAGGGAGGAGAAAATCCTATTTGTAACATGGAGGAGATGGCAGGTGACAAGGAGCAGTGAAGCCCTGGGCAGAGAAGAATGGAGCGAATGGAACATGGACTTGTCCCTCACACTCCAGAGCTCTGTCAGCACATGAGTTTGGTGCTAAAACACAAACAGAAGCACAGCACCTGATTGGATGCAGCCCTTCCTGAGGCCCACAGCTACTCGCCTGTGTCTCCTGGACGGGAAAGACTAGCATGATGGGTGAAAGGAAAGAGGTGATGGAGAGATCCAGGAAGTGGGCCATAGATGGGATTAGAGGGAGGAATGCCTACACAGTG